AGAGAAGGCATTTGACAAAATTCAACAGCCCTTTATGCTAAAAACCCTCAATAAATTCGGTATCGATGGAACGTATCTCAAAGTAATAAAAGCTATTTACAACAAACCCACAGCCAATATCATACTGAGTGGGCAAAAACTGAAAGCATTCCCTTTGAAATCAGGCACTAGACAAGGATGCCATCTCTCACCACTTTTATTCAATACAGTACTGGAAGTTCTAGCCAGAGCAATCAGGCAAGAAAAAGAAATAAAGGGTATTCAAATAGGAAAGGTGGAAGCCAAATTGTCTCTATTTGCAGACGACATGATAGTATACCTAGAAGACCCCACTGCCTCATCCCAAAAACTCCTGAAACTGATAAGCAACTTCAGCAAAGTCTCAGGATATAAAATCAATGTGCAAAAATCACAAGCATTCCTCTACACCAATAACAGACTTAAAGAAAGCCAAATCAAGAATGAACTGCCATTCACAATTGCTACAAAAAGAATAAAATACCTAGGAATACAACTCACAAAAAATGGAAGGGACCTCTTCAAGGAAAGCTACAAACCACTGCTCAACGAAATAAGAGCGGACACAAACAGATGGAGAAACATTCCATGTTCATGGATAGGAAGAATTAATATCGTAAAAATGGCTATACTGCCCAAAGTAATTTACAGAGTCAACGCTATCCCCATCAAGCTACCATTGACTTTCTTCACAGAACTGGAAAAAACCACCATGAACCTCATATGGAACCAAAAGAGAGCCCGCAGAGCCAAGTCAATTCTAAGCAAAAAGAACACAGCAGGGGGCATCACACTACTGGATTTCAAACTATACTACAAGGCTACAGTAATCAAAACAGCATGGTACTGGTACCAAAACAGAGATATAGACCAATGGAACAGAACAGAGGCATCGGAGGCAACACAACATATCTACAACCATACAATCTTTGATAAACCTGACAAAAACAAGCAATGGGGAAAGGATTCCCTGTTTAATAAATTGTGTTGGGAAAACTGGCTAGCCATGTGCAGAAAGCAGAAACTGGACCCCTTCCTGACACCTTACACTCAAATTAACTCCCGATGGATTAAAGACTTAAACATAAGACCTGGCACCATAAAAACCCTAGAAGGAAATCTAGGCAAAACCATCCAGGACATAGGAGTAGGCAAGGACTTCATGAACAAAACACCAAAAGCATTGGCAACAAAAGCCAAAATAGACAAATGGGACCTAATCAAACTCCACAGCTTCTGCACGGCAAAAGAAACAGTCACTAGAGTGAATTGGCAACCAACAGAATGGGAAAAAATTTTGCAGTTTACCCATCTGACAAAGGGCTAATATCCAGAATTTACAAAGAACTCAAACAGATTTACAGGAAAAAAACAAGCCCATTCAAAAATGGGCAAAGGATATGAACAGACAATTTACAAAAGAAGACATATATGAGGCCAACAATCATATGAAAAAATGCTCATCATCACTGGTCATTAGAGAGATGCAAATCAAAACCACACTGAGATACCATCTCACGCCAGTTAAAATGGCGATCATTAAAAAATCTGGAGACAACAGATGCTGGAGAGGATGTGGAGAAATAGGAACACTTTTACACTGTTGGTGGGAGTGTAAATTAGTTCAACCATTGTGGAAGACAGTGTGGCGATTCCTCAAGGCCTTAGAAATAGAAATTCCATTTGTCCCAGCAATCCCATTACTGGGTATATATCCAAAGGACTATAAGTCGTTCTATTATAAGGACACATGCACAGGAATGTTCATTGCAGCACTGTTTACAATAGCAAAGACCTGGAACCAACCCAAATGCCCATCGATGATAGACTGGACTGAGAAAATGTGGCACATATACACCATGGAATATTATGCAGCAATCAGAAATGATGAGTTTGTGTCGTTTGTAGGGACATGGATGAATCTGGAGAACATCATTCTCAGCAAACTGACACAAGAACAGAAAATGAAATACCGCATCTTCTCACTCATAGGCGGGTGATGAAAAATGATAACACATGGACACAGGGAGGGGAGTACTAAACACTGGGGTCTATTGGAGGGAAAAAGGGAGGGCCAGTGGGGAGGGGGGAGCTGGGGAGGGATAGCCTGGGGAGAAATGCCAAATGTCGGTGAAGGGGAGAAAGGAAGCAAAACACACTGCCATGTGTGTACCTATGCCACTGTCTTGCATGTTCTGCACATGTACCCCAAAACCTAAAATGCAATAAAAAAGAAAAAAAAAGAGATATCAACAATAAAACCTAACCTGTATAAAGCAGTGACTATATTCCAGGTCCAAGCACATGACATACATTAACTCAGTTAATCTTCTCAACAACCCTATACAGTAAGTAATATTTTCATCCCCATTTACAAATGGGGAACACTACAGCATGAAGAAGTTAAGAAATTTGTCGAAGGCCACACAGCTAGTAAATGGTGGAACCATAGTTTACACCCAAGCAGTCTCTAGGTAGTTGAAAAAAGAATAAACAGAACTTGACTTTGTAGGAAGAGAGGCCAGGTTTAACTTCAAAGTCCACCCCTAACCAGCTATTCAAGTCTGGGTAAATTACTTAACTATTACTATAAGCCTCACTTTTTTCTGTAGAATGGACTAGTAATACCTATAGTGAACATAAAGCTAAGTACAGGGACCAGTCTATGGCAGGAATCTCAATAACATATAGCTGGTATTATTATTTCTATCCTTCTGGCATTATTTTGCAGAGACTTGTTCCAGGTTTAATCGTAATACCAAATCTTTTCATAGCAATGTTCACAACTATGGTAATAACTACTATCTCTCCTTTGTTCAATATCCTCACACTTACACTAACAGTCTCCTATTTTTCAATAGTGTATCAAAAAATCGAAATAAAACCAGGTTACAATTTTTTTAAATAAGAACAATGAATTAAAGCCCATTCTATTCACAAAATACAAGTATTTCAGTAATTAATACCAAACTAACATCAACACTGTTTACAATGTTATTCATAGAAAATTTCAGACCTTTTTTTACCCCACAGCAAGAAACAACAATTTTGAAGTCATGAATAAGATTGCCAGTATTTACTGGAAGGAATGACTGATATATTTTTAGCAATCTTTTCAATTCTGAACACATTAATTTAGCCTCTCTTTGGTCAGCTATATGAAAGAGAGTCTCTTTTCGCTGTGAGGACAAGTGTCGCAATACTTCCTAGAACTTGCCCATACTAAAAGGACAGTTTTGCCATTCATATGCCTCTTCCCAAAACTCCAGGGATACTATGCTTTCTTGATAGGCAGAGTTCACTTTCAACCTAATTAGTTCCTTCTAAAATGAAGTCATATTTATAGGGCAGATACTTAAAAATTTATATATACCCTGTGGACATTCCAAAGCAAGCCAGGGAAACTTAAAGCATGATTCCTTCTCAAGAATTGAAACACAACAAGATTTTTAAGAAAACAAGAACATCTTCTAAAATCATGATCCCATTTCGACCAAAGCTTTGCATTTTTCAAAATCTATCATTTTAATGACTGGAAATAGTTCAGCATTTGGGATTTGGCAAGGTCTTAACTGCCAGCTACTAAATCAGTCCTATTTAGATCTGAGTAACTGTACTTCTTATAACAAATGCTCCATTTTTTTCTTATGTTTCAATTTCAATGTATTCAGGTGGTTCAGCAAGTAAGTAATAGCATATAATCTTGTGAGCCCCTAGAGTCATAAAATTTCAAGTCCAGAAAGTCCTTGATTTGAAGAAGCAACTCAGTAAACTTACTGAACAAGCCATCTAATGGTATTAAACTAAAATCTCTATATCCCATCTTTTTCCACACAGTTCCTTGACAAGAAATGATTAGGGGTTACAGCATGAAAAAAATTAATGATCTTTGTCATGTTCTCCATCACATCAGGTAATCAATCTAACTTGTAAAGTTCACTATTCAGCATAATCTCTCCTGCTAAATGATGCAATGGTGGGAAAGCACAGCAACCTTTAAGTTATGCTTTGAATATTTCCAAAACCATCTTTTCTTCAGTCATGCAGTCCCACCCGTGACCAATATAAATTTTTTTTCATGTTTTCACACAAACTTCTTAAATCCCTTTTTGGTATATGGTTAGGATCTATTTTATAGTTATGTCCCTATGGTATAGCTAATTAGGTGAAAACTGTTCAACTAAAAATATCAGGTGAGATGAACACTAAGGTGAGACAGGCTCCTTTAGGCCTGACAGTCTGTGTGTACGAGTTCATGGCACATGTATAGGCTATAGTCTAGCTAGTTTTCCTTGTCTTTTCTTAGGGCCGATCCAGCCACTGGCCCATCTTTCTCTTAGTTTTGCTGCAGCCAAATGGCAAGGGTCCCTATAACCTGGTAGTAGAAAATGTAAGACCTCAAATCTCTTGACATTTAAAAAAGAGTTTAATGTTTTAAAACTAACAATTCACAACAACTTTCACCTCCAGAGAATGTATAAGGGAAATGTTTCATCTCCATACCTAATCTCTAATTCAGGACTAAATCTTTAATATTAGATTATTTAATTTCTTTTTTTTTTTTAAGAAGGAGTTTCACTCGTTGCCCAGACTGGAGTGTAAAGGTGCGACCTCGGCTCACCACAACCTCTGCCTCACCTCCTGAGTTCAAGCAATTCTCCTGCCTCAGCCTCCCGGGGAGCTGATGTTACAGGTATGTGCCACCATGCCCGGCTAATTTTGTATTTTTAATGGAGATTGAGTTTCTCCATATTGGTCAAGCTGGTGGTCTTGAACTCCCGACCTCAAGTGATCTCAGTCTCGGCCTCCCAAAGTGCTGGAATTGCAAGCGTGAGCCACTGTGCCTGGCCAGGTTATTTAATTTTATTTTTTATTTTTCTTCTGAATCTTAAAATAAGAAAAATATGGCTAAGAAATAACTTATTGAAGCTAATTATTATAAATGCCATTTCAAGACATAAATGCAAAAGTAAACAACATACCTGATTGAATGACGAATCACTATCAGAGCAGTTGTCTGTGCAGTAACTGCGGCTTTTTTCCTTTTGAATTTTTTTCTGCCTCTCTTGACTTTGTGTCTCATCTTCTTCGAACTTGGTTATCATAGACTCGACCACAGCTATCATAATGTTCTTCAGGTAATGCATCATTTCTTTGTACCTTTAAATTCAAGGCAGTCTTACTAAGAGAAAGGCAGTCAGAAAGTAAAACAGTCAACTAGTTAAATTAACTAATTTTTTTCTATAAAAAGGGAAGTCCCTTTAAGAACACAAGGCTAAAGAGAAAAATCAAACTCAATTTTTCTTAAAGAAGAAGTAGAACCGAATTCACAAAACAGCAACAAAAATTAATAGGGAATTCAAAAAGTATGTGATTTCCCGGGGATTTTTAATGGTTACATGGATCAAGGTAGTAATAAAAGAACCTAAGGCAAGAGGTTTCAATGGTTTGGATTCCAATTGCTAGCAACAAAGTCAACTAGTAATATCATACCACCAAAACCAAGGCCATTTTACACAACACCTTCATCCTCTGTCTTATATTTATCTCTTTCTCCACCCCCCCCATTCTCTATTTTCTTCTCTACTCCCTTGCCCATACTTTAAAGACACCCATAGCCATGACTGAGAGCTCTTATATACTCCCAAGACCTATGTAAGAGTTAAGCTATCAATGTGTCCTTTCACACAGAGGCTGGGGAACCCACTATCAGGACGTTAGAAAAGGGATTCCCAGAATTAATAAGAGTGTGAATTGGATAATACTTAAAATCTCTTTTGGTAGGCCTAAAAATCTCAAAAAGAACTCATAACAAATTTCTCCACTTTGTAACTTCAGACTCTCAAGCATCCATATTAAGATGAGCCTGAAATACTCAAAAGCACTAAGAACAGAATTTTAGAGCTGGAAAGAACCATAAATATAGTCTAGCTCTTTATTTTACAACTGAGGGATATGTGACCTGGACCACTGAAATTTCCACATCTAAAACAAAAAAGGCATAAAGATGTAAATAAAAATAGTAAATAAATTATAAAATTTGAAATCAGAAAACTTGAATTGGAATCCTTTTTTATAGGATTCCAGCTCTGTCATCATAAATAAGTTTCAATTTCCTCAACTATAAAAAGAGATAAAAAATACAATCTAGTTAACCTATTTCATATGACTGTAGCAAAAAATAAATACATACGTATGTCGGTATATATATATATATATATATACCTGAAATAATAAATACATGTGTACTGTGTGTAGGTTTATATACGTATACACATGTATTTATTATCATTAAAATAAGAGAAATATACTAGGAAAATAAGCACAGAAATGTCCTTTTCTGTATAATTCTGGATAATTGGTCATTGTAATTCTATAAATCAAAAATAGAAAAAAGTACTTTATCTCTCATAAGAGAAATCAAACCTGCTGGGGAATTTGAATGAAAATCATAGACTGAGATTTTAAATAAAAAGTATAAAATATATTTTAAACTTTTATTGTTAAATAGATATAATTTAATATGTAATATTAAATATTTATATCATGTGGAACTACACATTAACTTTTATAATACATGTATTTAACATATTTCTTTAACTATCAGAAGTTATGGGAAAACAGAAAAATACTGGAAGCAGATGGAAATAAGTTAGGAAAAACTAGGGGAAGAAACATACAGAAGGTAACTCAATAGAGGTAACGAAGAGTCCAGGAATATCCCAGTTTGATGTAAAGGGACATAAAAACCAAAAAGGATTCCTGAGACACACACACTGATTTGCAAAGTATACATAAGGATAACTGAGCCTGAAGGCCCAGCTTCCGCCTCTATAAATTCCGGCCAGCAAAAAACAGGGAAGCAAAACAGTTCCCTGGCAGCAATCAATATACAGCCACCAAAAGCTTTTCTCTCCTTTCACAGTGATTGAATTATAGCTGCGGACAGGACTAAACTACACTGCCCAGACTCCTTTGCAGCTAGGTAAGGCCATGTCAACAACATAAAGTTCCCATCCCCTTAAAAATTACAATCTGGTGATTTAATAAAAAGGTATAAAAGTAATTCTTAATGATACACAGGATAAGGATAATGGTACTTAAAATCCATAGAAAATCTACAAGTTTTGCTTTGAAAATAAATGATTACAATAAACCTTTTAGAAAAGACCAACATAAATTATTCTGTAAGAAACACAAAATGGCCACAGGCGGTAGCAAATAATTTTAAAAAGTGAATTAAAAAGTAGTGTCACACCATCAATATCGAGAGTTAAATGAACTAACACTCAATAGCAGCCATTGCAGTTTTGAAAAGACTAAAAAAAAACAGATATAAAATAGAATATAAACACCATTGAGTAGATTCCTTCATGCTTTGCAAGTTTTAAAGACTACAGAAACAAAAAGCTCTAAGAAGTACTGAATAAAAATCAAATCAATTAACAATGAAAATCTTCAGAGTAAGTATTTCCACTCATTATGAGTAATACTGTAATATTATATAGCTCCTACAAATAAATTCTTTTGTGTGCAAACATCTGCTTAAAAAATATCAAAATGTTTAATTACAAAAACACTTTATGACAATTGAAATGCTGTTTACAGATGTAGTGTTGATACATTAGTCCTAAGTGATTTCTAAAGAATCACCAAAAAAAAAAAAAGACTGAAAAAATATGCTGTACAATGTAAAATCTTTCATCCATGGTTCATAAAGTGGAAAATAAACATTTACTGAGTCATTTAAAATCTTTGTGAGGTAATTATTACTGTATTAATTTTAACACATGGATGAACTAAAACACAGAAAAATCAAATAGCTTACCTAGAGATAAAAAGTAATTTCCTAGAAGTACCATATAAAATTCTGCTCTTACCATGAAAATACTTTCATTAACTGACCAATAAAGTATTTTAGTATTCCTTCTAGAATTAAGTTTAATGATACAGCTAGAAACAGACTTATTAAAAATTATATTATTCAAAGATGAAGATTATTTTATTTTTCATTTTCTCCAAATCAAGAAATAAGAAATCTTAATCTCTATTACTTATGCTTGATATAGATTAGTGCTTTGAACTTGCTAAATTTACTAAAACCGCTATATGATATCACTTTGTCAATGAATAACATATTAATTTAAATAATATAATCAGGCCTTTGTCTTTCCCTGTAGCTGCAGCCCCGGGTCTCATCTTCACTTCTGTGTCCTGTTCTTCTAGATGCCTAGCTTGTGTGACCCTGTGACCTGCAGGTATTGGAGATACACAGCTAAGATGCCAGGATCCCCTGGAAGCCTAGAAATGGAACTGTTGACATTTAGGGATGTGGCCAAAGAATTCTCTTTGGAGGAGTGGTAATGCCTGGACACTGCACAGCAGAATTTATATAGGAATGTGATGTTAGGGAACTACAGAAACCTGGCCTTCCTGGGCAGACAAGCAACCTCATGAAGCAGCTCCCTGACACCACAGCCAGGTAAATCCACAAAGATGGGAAAAAACCAGCACAAAGAAGATGAAACCATCAAAGACCAGAACACCTCTTCTCCTTCAAGGCATCACAACTCCTCAACAACACAAGATCACAACTTGACCAAGGAGTGCAACAAATTTGACAGAAACAGGCTTCAGAAGGTGGCTAATAACGAACATTTCTGAGCTAAAGGAATATGTTCTAAGTCAATGCAAAGAAACCAAAAACCTTGAAAAAAAGTTAGACAAAATGCTAATTAACAACCAGCTTAGAGAAGAACATAAACGACTTGATGGAGTTGAAAAACACAGCACAAGAACTACGTGAAGCAAACACAAGTTTTAATAGCCAGATCAATCAAGGAGAAGAAAGGATATCAGAGATTGAAGATCAACTCAATGAAATAAAAAGAGAAGGCAAGACAAAAGAGAAAAGAGTGAAAAGAAATGAACAAAGCCTCCAAGAAATATGGGATTATGCGAAAAGACCTAATCTACGCTTGATCAGTGTACCTGAATATAATGGGGAGAATGAATCCAAGCTGGAAAACATGTTCCAGGATATTATCCAGGAGAACTTCCCAAGCCTAGCAAGGCAGTCCAAATTTCAAATTCAAGAAATACTGAGAACTCCCCAAAGATATTCCTCAAGAAGAACAACCCCAAGGCACATAATCGTCAGATTCACCAGGGTTGAAATGAAGGAAAAAATGCTAAGGGCAGCCAGAGAGAAAAGCCAGAGGGAAGCCAATCAGACTCACAGATCTCTCTGCAGGAACCCTACAAGCCAGAAGAGAGTGGGGGCCAATATTCAACATCCTTAAAGAAAAGAACTTTGAATCCAGAATCTCATATCCTGCCAAACTAAGCTTTGAAAGTGAAGGAGAAATAAAATCCTTTACGGACAAGCAATTATTGAGAGATTTTGTCACCACCAGACCTGCCCTACAAGAGTGCCTGAAAGAAACACTAAGCATGGAAAGCAACAAGTACCAGTCACTGCAAAAGCAAAGGCAAAGACCAAAAATACAATGAAGAAAATGAGTCAACTAATGGGAAAGAAAACCAGTCAGTAACAAAATGGCAGAATCAAATCTACACATAACAATATTAACATTGAATGTAAATGGCCTAAACGCCCCAATCAAAAGACACAGACTGGCAAACTGGGTAAAAAGTCAGAACCCATATGTGTGCTGTATTCAGGAAACCCATCTCACATACAAAGACACACATAGACTCAAAATAAAGGGATAGAAGAAGATTTACCAAGCAAATGGAGAACAAAAAGAAGTAGGGATTACAATCCTAATCTCTGATAAAATGGACTTCAACAAAGATCAAAAGAGACAAAGAAGGACACTACATAATGGTAAAAGGATCAATCCAACAGGAAGAGCTAAGTATCCTAAATACATAGACCCCCCAATGCAGAAGCACCCAGATACATAAAGCAAGTTCTTAATGACCTAAAACGAGATTTAGACTCCCACACAATAATAGTGGGAGACTTCAACACTCCACTGTCAATATTAGATTGATCAATGAGACAGAAAATTAACAAGGATCCAGGACTTGAATGCAGAGCTGGATCAAGTGGACCTAATACACATATACAGAACGCTCCACCCCAAATCCACAGAATATACATTTTTCGCAGCACATTGCACATACTCTAAAATTGACCACATCATTGGAAGCAAATCACTCCTCAGCAAATGCAGAAGAACAGAAATCATAACAAACAGTCTATCAGACCACAGCACAGTCAGACTAGGACTCAGGATCAAGAAACACACGCAAACCTGCACAACCACTTGGAAGCTGAACAACTTGTTTCTGAGTGTCGACTGGAAACTGTCTCAAAAAAAAAGAAATATTAGACTTCCATAGAATCAGCCCAAATGCCCATCAATGATAGACTGGACAAAGAAAATGTGGTACATATACACCATGGAATACTACGTAGCATAAAAAACAAGTTTGTGTCCTTTGTAGGGACTTGGATGAATCTGGAAACCATCATTCTCAGCAAACTAACACAAGAACAGAAAGCCAAACACCGTATGTTCTCACTCATAGGTGGGTGTTGAACAACGAGAACATGTGGACTCAGGACTCAGGGAAAGGAGCATCACACACGGAGGCAGGGAGAGACAGCAGGGGGTGGGGAGGGAGTTGAAGGTGGGGAGGGATAACATGGGGAGAAATCCCAGATACAGTATGCACCTAAAGTAAATAAATTAATCCCAAAAATACAAAATAGCTGGACATGGTGGTGCCTGCCTGTAATCTCAGCTACTCGGGAGGCTGAGGCCGGAGAATTGCTTGAACCTGGGAGGTGAAGGTTGTAGTGAGCCGAGATCGTGCCACTGCACTCTAGCCTGGGCAACAGAGCGAGAGTCTCTCAAAAAAAAAAGGCACTTATTTTTGAGATGGGGTCTTGCTACATAACCCGGGCAGGTCTTAGTGTTTGACCAGAAGCAATTCTCCAACTTTAATGTACCATGTAGCTATTATTACAGGTGTGAACCATGATGCCTGGTTCTCTCATAAAGGGATTTTTGTAAGGAATCAGTGACAGATTTTCTTGGTGTCAGAAGATAAGCAAACAGGGCACCCTTTACTTCCTTGTCTAATTAATGTCACTGTCCATATGAATTTTTACTTTTTATTTTCTACTTCAAATTTATCTGTAATTTTAGATTCACAAATTTAGGACAATATACCAGAATTTACATGTTGTGCCTGAATTAAATTAGATGATTAGTATGCAGGCAGGCAAAAAGGAATTATAAAATTTTAAACAGCTTCTGTTAGCCTATATCTAAAGTATATAATTTATTCCCCAAATATTTGTTTTTCATGAGACTCTTACCATATTCTGCTAAATGTGTGTGTGTGTGTGTGTTTGTGTGTGTGTGTACATATATATATATATATATATATATATATTTAATTCAGCAATGTAAGGCTATTCTTTGCTTCTAAACTTGGATTACAGTAGTTTTATTTTGTGTAAAAATAGCCTATATTTAAAAATTGGCACTAGTTTCTTTTAAATGCTTATCTAGTAAAGTTTCTCATTAGCATCTCCAATAAAAATAATAATAATAATACAATCAATTTCCCCAAAAAGGAAGAGCTCTTGTATAAAATAATTTTTTTTTAATTTAACTAATTAAAAGTAAATTAGATTTAATACTTTAAAACACAGTCAGTAATATAAGCTCAGGTATATATCCAAATGTTTCTGATACTGGAAATATGAACCATAGCAGGTCTTCAAATGGCATCACATAATTCAAAATCTTTTCATTATAACTTTGATGAGAAAAAAAAAAAATTAATGATGGCTTCCTGCCTAGGGCTAGTTCCCACCTTGTACCCTGAGATACCAGGAAGGATAGGCTACCAGCAACCCTGAAGTAGAATAATTATTCCAGTTAAATAATTATCTTGTTCTTTTTAATTTTCCTTAAATGTATATATAGCTCACATTTATTTCAGTGTTTAATATTAGAAGTGTTTTCATCCTTATTTAGAAGTTTGGTGATGTTTCTTTGACCAGAAATATGCTGTAGGAACTTAATAACTCTTGTTTATATCCATTAACCTAGACCCCAAAAAAGTGAAGGAGCAAGTCATGCAAATATTTAGGAGAAGAACATTCTAGGTAGCAGGAGCAATATGACTGCAAATCCCTCAGGGAGGGAGGGACTCGGCTTTTTGAGAAAAAAGCAGGCAAGATCATGGTGGCTAGAGCAGTATAAGGGAGAATATGGTAAGAAATGGGGCAGGAGACGGAGCAGAAGGTCCATGGTAGGCCTTGTTGGCTACAAAAATAATTCCGGGTTTTGCTCAGACGGAGATAGGAAGCCTTTGGAGAGTTTGGATGAAAAGGTGTCATGATCTGACTCACTGTTTTCAAGAATCATTCTGGCTGCTACAAGGGAAACAGACTGTGAGGGACAGGGATCGAGTGCTGGAAGGAAGGAAGGGAGGGAGGGAGGGAGGGAGGGAGGGAGAGAAGGAGGTGAGGAAAGAAGGAAGGAAGGAGGGAGGGAGGGAGGAAAGAAGGAAGGGAGGGAGGTGGGGAAGGAAGGAAGGAAAGAAGGAAGGAAGAGAGGGAGGGAGGGAGGGAGGTGGAGAGGGAAGGAAGGAAAGAAGGGAGGGAGGGAGGTGGGGAAGAAAGGAAGGAAAGAAGGAAGGGAGGGAGGGAGGGAGGTGGGGAAAGAAGGAAGGAAGGAGGAGGGAGGGAGGGAAAAAGGAAGGGAGGGAGAGAGGTGGGAAAGGAAGGAAGGAAGGAAGGAAGGAAGGAAGGAAGGAAGGAAGGAAGGAAGGAAGGAAGGAAGGAAGGAAGGAAGGACAGGAGAAAGGAAGAAAGGGAGGGAAGGGAGAGAGGGAGGGAAGGAGGGGAGGGAGGGAGGAAAAGAAGGAAGGAAGGATGGGAGGGAGGGAGGGAGGAAAGAAGAAAGGAAGGGAGGGAGAAAAAAGGAAGGAAGGATGGGAGGGAGGGAGGAAAGAAGGAAGGAAGGGGGGAAGGAAAAGAAGGAAGGAAGGATGGGAGGAAGGGAGGGAGGCAAGAAGGAAGGAAGGGAGGGAGGGAGATGAGGAAGGAAGGGAGGGAGGGAGGAAGGAAGGGAGGGAGGGAAGGAGGGAGGGAGGGAGGTGGAAGAAGGAAGGAAGGGAGGGAGGAAGGGAGGGAAGGAGGAAAGGAAGGAAGGATGGGAGGGAGGGAGAGAGGGAGGGAGGAAGGAAGGAAGGGAGGGAGGGAGGGAGGGAGGGAGGGAGGGAGGGATGTGGGGAAAGAAGGAAGGAAGGGAGGGAGGGAGGAAGGAGAGAGAAGGAAGGGAGGTAGGGAGGAAGGAGAGAGAAGGAAGGGAGGGAGGGACGGAAGAGAGAAGGAAAGAAGGAAGGGGTCTTGTTGAAGGATAAGTTATTTGAAAATATTATTATGGGCATACTCACTCTTCGGATTCCTGAGTTCTTTTACTAACGTGCTGTACAACTGTGTCATAGCCACATTCTTCACCCTGATTCTCATCAGATGTGCATTTTTCCATTTCTTCTTCGATCATAGAACCCAAAGTGGTGCATATATGCTGTCTAAGGTATTTCACAAATTCATAGCTGAAACAAATATTTAGAAAATGCAGTAAATATCATAAGCATATTCAGGAGCAAAGGTCAACATAGAAAGGAAACATTAAGATTTCTTACCTTTACTAGGATTTAATTGGTCATTCCTCACAAACCATCTAGCTAATCTACAAATTTTTGGCTTTTTTTTTTTCAGGGACACTGGGCAAAAATCATCATTTAAAGATCAACAGAGTAGGGAAAAGCGAATTTCAGAAGCCCAAACTTCAGTTGGTTAGAAGTCTCTTCACATTTCTTTTTTATGCTCCTATCTTAAACATGTGACAGTGAAGAGTATGGAAAGCAGTTGTTAAGGATTTTCAGTTATTCAAGATGAGGAGGAAAATCATCTAGAATATAGTAACCATTAAATAGGAAATTAGAAAAAGTTAGCTTCCATCATCACAAGAGTTTTGTGTACATTTTGAAAGTAGCAACTAATGTAACTTCCACCTAAACAGTTCTTACCTTACTAAGGTTATCACTATTATTAAATTCAAGGCACATTTTGTCTTGGTATTAAAGCCCTCAGAGATTCCAATTTATCACACCAGATCTACGTCCCGTTACTACCTACACATGCCTAACTCTCCATGTGATTTTTATTCCCAATACCTTTGAAAACATTGTTTCACCCACTTAGAGTGTTTTGCCACCACTCCTATAGATTATCTTCTACAGCCTAAAATGCTACCTTCTGATAAAAGCTTTCCTTGTTTCTCAACAATTGATATCCTTTCTCACCTAAGACTCAAAAGTACTCTGTCCTCTATCAGCATTCAAAGCACTTTCTTGGATGCAGTTATATGACCTGCTTTATCGTCTACTTGGTTCCTGACCACCTCTAAGCCCAGATGTCTACATTGTTTATAGACTTGACAACAGAACAAATCCACTTGTCTATGATCTGAAATATTCTGTACATAGTAGACACTTTATAAACATTTGTTAGATTGAAATACAGCACTGGGGAAAGGTTTATCTCTTCATTTTCTACACCAGTGGCTGTGAATTTGAACTTATCTTTTCTAAATGTTGGTTTTCGTTGTTAATTCCTCATTCATTTAATGTCTATTAACACATTTCTGATGACATCATGCTATAATTACCCGACATATATGGCTTCATATCCTTCCTATAATCTAGTATAAGAAAAAAGAAGAGGAATGAAAAGAAAAAAAAAAGGAAGTATAAAGCAAAAAGCACTCCCCTCTTTCTACCTACGCACAATTTTGGCACTAACAGCATTGTTTTTTAAGACTTTCAAACCTGAAAACATGGAATGCTCGTTCATGTCTGCATCTTCTGTACCCCTTGCCCATCAACTCAATCATATCCATTCAGCCACCAATACATGTCAATGTTTCCTGTACCTCCCTGACTTTTATCACTGCCTCCCTTTTTTCTCTATCAATCAGTTCAAAGCCATATCACTTCACACAGAGATTACTGCAGCGGCCTTCTTGTCTTCTCACTTCTCTCTCTTCTCTTCCATCTCATATTCATCCCAAACACTGTAGTCATATTAGCCTTCCAAAATAACTGATTTTATTAGTTTGGTTACAGCTAGAGCCATTTTACTCATACTGTATCATGCATGCACATAATGCCTCAATAAATATTTGCTGAATTAAAACGAAATTATTGGCTGCCTATTATCTTTCATGATCAAATACAGCTTCCTTGGCCTGGACTTTAAATATCTAATCAATCAAATCTCTTCATAAGAGTATCTCTACTAAAACGAGGCTGCATTCAATATTCCCAACAAACCTCCAACCATGTTGCTCTTCTTATAAGAAAGTGATAAACTGGTCAGGCACGGTGGCTCACGCCTGAAATCCCAGCACTTTGAGAGGCTGAGGCAGGCAGATCATGAGGTCAGGAGATCAAGACCATCCTGGCCAACATGGTGAAACCCCGTCTCTACTAAAAATACAAAAATTATTTGGGTGTGGTGGCATAAGCCTGTAGTCCCAGCTACCCAGGAGGCTGAAGCTGAAGAATTGCTTAAACCCGGGAGGCAGAGGTTTCAGTGAGCCGAGATCGCGTCACTGTACTCCAGCCTGGTGACAGAGTGAGGTGCCATCTCAAAAAAAAAAAAAGTAATAAACTAACTTTAAGTGACTACCATGCTAAAGTCTGTGCTAAGCACTTTATTAATCTTTTATTTACCATATGTTAAGCAAAATAGCTGAGGACACAGATTCAAAACATGAAAAACCTGTTAAATTCATAAGCTACCAATTTGGTCACTTTACTCCAAAGCCCATGTTACTCCCATTAATCCCATAATCCTACACTGTCCCAAAGATATAAAAATATCAACAATGTTGTATTTTGTAGTTGTAAATTGAGTGAAAAGGGAAATAAATGTAATACTCAGATCTTTACCAATTTGTATATTATTTCAATTTCTTTCATTTTGAGAGAAAAATTAACATTTTAGTCTCTAAAAATTACAACTGGCATATTAAAAGTATAATTTACTTAAATATTTAAATTATTGATTGAATTTACTTTAAAATGTTCAATATATGCATTAAGGGAGTAACTATTAAGAAGAGCAGAAGAGGAAGATGAAGCTATTTTGTAAATCTAATGTCCTATAATATTAGATTGAAATAGCAAACATTAATTTTCAGAAATACAGCCCAAGAAAAGCAAAATCCAAAGCTCACGGAATCAAATATCATAGAAAACAGACTCTAATCATCATCTAAATAGTTTGTGCTTTTGGTAATTCATCACTGCCTTACATTATTTGAAGATCTTCCCATATACATGGAAACTTCCTATCTACACTAAATATTAACTTATTATTTCATTTGTGTATGTCCAATTATAAACCAAATATTTGCAAATTCTATACAAACAGTGAAATCACACAGGTAAGAAAAAGAATTCAAAAATTAAGGTTTCAAGAGAACCCTAAAGATGTTCTCAATTGCATCATATCTGACAATCCCCATCCTGCTTCTACACACAGTCGGCTCTGAGACAGAGTTGGCAGATGTGCATGATCATGTAAGTCAAAATAGGCTCTTAGTTCTCCACCAAAACCATGCCTTCACAACCAGGAACCCAATGAACCAAGAATCAGAACATCTGATATTTCAATTCCATAAAAGTATCACTGCTTTCTTTGAAACATCTTTAAAAATGAAAAAATAAAAATCCTAGAATGGATCACCCTTTCAACCCAACCATTATGACCTCACATCCAGCCTTTTACTACCAGGCAAAGAAAGAGAAAAACGAATGTGACAGGAAGTACAGAGAGAGGAGACTGGAGAGGTCCTTAAACTCTACTTCCTTCACAATCCTGCCCAAAGTTAGTCAGTCAGACACACCAGTGTTTTCCTCCACACCTCTGAAATATTTAGCAGCAAATGGAAGATGGGGATAGTCCAAATTTTTTCTCTGAAACAGAAGGAAGAGCTCCTCTGAAGATGAATTCTACATCTCACCACCAATATCTATGATGGAAAGACAGAATTATCCTTATTTCTTTGTTTTTATCAGCCAATTAGAAGAAATGAATATTTAACTAAGAAGTATAACTCTTGGGTATGCTTTGTTATGAAGCCCAATCTGTAAGCAACACAAAGGATATATCTGTCAATGAGACCATATGGAAATTTAACACAGGCACTTTAACAAAATGTAGTCAATAAAGCTAAGAAAACACAATTCTAAGATAAAAGACACATTAAAAAAATCCCTACAGAGAAGGAAGGGATAGAGAGAGATTCTTAAAGGATACAAAATTATAGCTAGACAGGAGGAATAAGTTTATGTTCTATTCCACTGTAGGATGACTATAGTAACAATAATGCATTATATAGCTTCGAATACCTACAAGAAAGATGGTGAATTAAATGATAAATGTCTCAGATGATGAATATGCTAATTACCATGATTTGATCACTCTCCGTGAATGGAAACATCACTGTGTACTTCACAAATATGTTCAATTATTGTTTGTCATTTTAAAAGTAAAATTCATTTTTTTAAAAAATCTCCACTATTTAGCAACAGCTGTAAACAGCAAATATCCTGAAAAGCTTTTAAATCTACTCTGTGGATATTTAAATAACCTCATGCTTTTTTCTAGTGACATAATTTTTACCTGTAACCACAGTAATAGCTCCAGAAGACTCATTCAAAATGCTTCTAGGTTTTCATCTAAGTTCTAAATTAAATGAACCCAAGGTTAAAACCTCTTGTTTTAAGAGGTTATTGCTCTTTTCAAAAGAATCTTCTAGAAAAAAAAAGTCTTCAGGGATGGAAAGGCCGTTTATCATGAAAGGACTGCCAGGCTGCCTCTATACCCTCTGGGTGTTCTGCTGACTCAGGGACCACTGAGAAACTTTGAGAGCCTCCAATCCCAAATAACGAACATAGTCATTTCTTCAAGTGGGCCTTCTACTCTTTAGGTAAGAGTACCCAAGACTGCAAGTTCTCATCCAACAATCAATTTTGCATTGTTTCTTTTACCATCGGAATTCATGGCAGTACCCCATAAAATACTAAATAAAGTGGCTAATGGTGTCCCAGGATAGAAAATATTGTTACGACGATGAGAACAACAGATACTGGGACTCTAAAAGATAGAAGATAGGGAGGAAGCAAGAGTTTAAAAAAACTACCTATCAAGGCACTATGTTTACTATTTAGGCAACATGACCAATAGAAGCCCAAACCTCAGCATCATGAAATATACCCATGTTAACAAACCTAGGCATGAACTCCCTGAATCTAAAAAAAGAAAATCATTATTGCAATGGAGCAGGGAAAAACACAGTTCTACAAAATTAAATACTGTGTTTCCCACACTGTAATCCTGATAGCGCTGGTGCTATGTACTATCTCTGATGAAATCTGTATCTCATCCCAAAGATTGACAGTAACCACCGATTTTTAAATCAAATATTACCATTGCATCACTTTTAGAAAATAACCTGGAGGTATAACATATTCTAGTTATT